TTTAGTTAAGGAAAGGTTTAACAGGTTATATTAAGTTAGGCCTAGGAAGGAGGATCCTCCTAGGCGTTGTTGTTTCCTGTCTAATAGCCATCTAAATTGGTTAATTCAGCGGTTTCTTCTTCCTTAGAATTCTCGACACCCTGTTCCACATCTATGACCCAAATCCTAGGGGGTTTAGGGCAGTTACTGGAGAAGTGCCTAGGCTTTCCACAATTATAGCAAGTTACTAGGATTCCTGTTGTGGTAGCGCTAGGAGTGGCTGGCGTAGCAGATGGGGGTCGATTGTTTTGAGGGGTAGTGCCTTGTTATTGCAAATGGGGCACATAAGGTTTAATGTGGAAGCTAAAGACTAGCTAGGTTAGGTAGTACCCTATATCTCCTCACGGAGGGAGGTGTTGTACAACTAATTAGTAAGTTGCTTAACTTGTTCCTCTAACCTCTCCTTTTTAGATAGGGTTGACATGTATTTATCTTTAAGGGAGGTGTTGCTTTAAGATTTCCTAGGAGCACGAGGTACCTCAAGAGACAGATAGGAAGCGGGTCCTTTAAGGAGGGCGTTGTCGATCAAGTCTTCCTTATCTAATTTCTTTCTATTAGTGAATAGGCTTTTAAAAGTGGCCAAACTAGAGGCCCTTCCTTTGCCCTTGTCTAATATTTTGTAGTTAATAAGAATAATAAATCTTTTCTTTTCTTTTAGGGGGTTTGGTTGTAGGAGGATATTAGCTTTGCCTCCAATTCCTCTAGGCTTTTGGTAGTCTCTGGGTCTCTACCTTGACGCAATCTAACGCGATTTTTCTAAAGGTAATCTAGCACCACCTATAGGTCTAGAAGTCTAAGCCTATAGGCTTTGGTCGTTAGAAGTTCTAATAGCTGTTCTAACTGTAGAGTTGCAGGGTTAGGTAGCTACTAGAACTAAATTAGTAGCTTAAAATAACAACAAGTGCGATATTCTTAAATGCCGTTACTAGCTAGGATAATGTTCTTCTTGTAATATAACAACTTAGGTAGGTAGGGCATCCAAAAGGTATCCTATACAACTTAAAGGCATATAGGAGTGCGCGTCTGTATAGAAAAGGATGAGATTCCTACACCTATAGGTCTTGTACGAAAGGACAAGAAGAATATGCCTATCCTAACTATAGGCGAGCTGTTCTCTATATACATTAGTAAGTCGGGCCTTTATTAGGCCTGACTTGGCATGAAACAATAGGCAGGCAATTCTGCCTTATTGTTACACTTATATGTGCTTATGTAATAGACTAGAATATATTAAGAACTAGTTAGGAACTAGTTACTATATTTATAGACTAACCCTGCCTTATATAAAAAGTAGCTATCTCTTTCTTAAGTTTAAACTGTGCCTTTTGCAATTTAAATAGTGCCTTTTTCTGTGCAAGTTCTTCCTTATCTACCTCTAGCTTTTCTTTTCTCTCCTTTAGAGCCTAATTACTAAGAAGAGCCTTTTATTATAAAGTTTGTAGTTATAGACTAATAATAAGTTAGGAACGTGTTATAAACGTGTTTCGCGAAGCATACCTTTAGGTTGCTGTTAGCAAAGGAGAAGAGCCTAGTAGTAGAGAAGATAGAAAAGGGGCTAGTAAACTTCTTTCTAATACTGCTCTACTACTTGCCCTCTAGCTTTAGGCTTTTAAGCGTGCTCTTTTATTTCTTATTAGGACTAAGATATATCTAGTTAAGTTAGATATAGCAAGACTTGCTTTATTATTATCTAGAGTATTATTATTATCGCAGGACGCGTTCTAAACACGTTCTAAACACGTTTTAATTAGCAAATATATATAACGCTAGCGTAAGACTTACTTTCTCCCCTCTAAAGCTTTTTAAGGTACCTTTACTTAAGCCTATTAGGAGTTCTATAGTTATAGCGTATTCTAAACTTGCTCTAGGCTTTAAACTCTTTTATATCCTATAGATCTATCTAGTGTGCACTACACGATGTTACTTATACAATTCTAACAGGTTAAGAATAGGTTGTAAACTTACTTCTAAGTAGCCTTAAGAATACTTACATGCTTACTAGTTTTATATCCTTTCTAGCCTGCTTGCTTAGCTACATTTAAATAAGATTCTAGTTTTTCCTATACCTCTTTTAATATTTTACTACAGCATTGCATAATCCTAGCAGCAATTACTAGGTTTTTCTTATAGATTGCCTAGTTTTAGGCATCTTTAGAGGGTTCGTGTTCTAATTATGTAAGAACAAGTTAGGAACACGTTTAGAATAGGTTTAGAATGTGTTTACTTACGTAAGAGGAGGTTAGCAAGCTAAAAGTATTCCTCTACTATTAATGCCTGTAGTAATTCACTTAGACGTAAAGAGGTAGTATTATCTAGCTCTCTTTTATATGCTTTGTAAATACTTCTTTGTAGATGTACTTAATAAAATCTTATGCAAGATTAAAGTTGCTAGCGCTAGTTACGCTTATAGGGATTAATTAACTAGAGATAGCGCCTAAGTCCTAGAAACAAGTTAGAAACACGTTATAAATATGTTATAGTGCGCTATAAAACTTGCCTGTTATCTACTTATTGCATATATTAATAGTAGTCCTATAGAATCCCTGTAAGTAAATATACCTCTATAACACTTATCTTTTTATAAGTGCTTTACACTTCTAAAAGAAGTTAGTAATAGTAACTTAATATATCTTAGTTATATCCTTATCTATAATAATTTAGCCAAGTGTAATAACTATAATATATTAGAAACGTGTTACAAACCTATTCTTAATGCGTACGCTTCTTTTCCTGTGGGTAGAAGATTACTATTAGAATCTCTGCCTATGCCCTATACAACCTCTTATATAATATATCTATCTAGAATATATCTTAATCTAATAGAATTAATGCCTACTCTTTAAAAAGGTAAATAATTAAGTTACCTAAGCTTAATATAAAGATTTACTGTATATACGCCTATAGTAACGTGTTAGCAACGTGTTCTAAACCTGTTCTCTTACACCACGTATAGTTTTAGGATCCTAATGCTTTATCCTCTACTTATAGTGTACTCCTCTAAGGCTACTCTTAAATAGGAACTATAGAAGCTTTTCACGCTTTATAATACGTAAGATTTTATCTTTATTTGCAAAGCTAATATATATTTCTTTAATAGAATAGAAACCTTTAAGTTAGAGATAGGTTTAGAGCTAGGTTAAGTTTAGGAACTAGGCTATAATAAGTTAGGAACACATTTATAACAGGTTGCAAACAACTTACATTACGTAAGCTATAGAGTAAGCATAGGCCACAATACCTTTACTACTTCCTTAATATTACTATTAGATAGTGTTAAGGGAGGAGGAGGTATATATATATGTATACTAAAAGAAATAATAGTAAAAAAAGGTATTACTACTATATCTATTAGTATAATTACTTAGAAGGTAACTTTACACAGGATTTTAAACAGAGATCCTTGCCCTTATAGATAATTAACGCCTAGAATATATTAGGAACGTGTTAGGAATAGGTTGCAATATACCTACCACACTTCTTTATCTAGCTTAACTGTGGCTTAACTATAGAATATAAAGCAGGACTACTAGAAAGATTTAATATCTCCCTAGTTAGAAGACCTTGTAGATATATAGAGTCTACCTCTAGTAGTACCTAACTAAAATAATGTTTTTTCCTAGTAGCAGATATTAGGCTATAGTTCTAACAGCTAATATATAGTTAAGCCTGTTCTATAATTTACTAACTTATTATTAACACGTTTTAAATATGTTTAAGTTTCGCTCCCTACCTAATTTACTGCAGTCCTTATTATAGGATAACAAGACACCTAGTAGTCCTTATAAATCCTTAAAGAGAAGCGCTTAATAAGGCTATAATAATAGCTTCTTGTTTGTAGTTCTCTTTATAGAATTTTCTTAGGTACTACACTTTTTAAGGTTTAGATCTAATTATATAATATATTATTAACAACGTAATAAGAACACGTTTATAACGTGTTCTTAAGATACTTACACGCTTTTACCCTAGAGTATTAGTATTTATACTAGCTTGCTAGCTAGCTGTTAAAGAATAGTAAAGTTATAGGCCTGTTAAGATAGATAGACTGGCAGGAGTATTGTACCTGCTAGAATTAGAATAATTTAAGAACGTGTTCTTAACGTGTTACCTATATAGCCTGCACAAGCACCTCTTCTCTTATTAGGTAAGAGCTATCTTTATATTACTAAACTAGTATTATATACCTATACCCTTAGCTATATAATTAAGGGTATGCTAGGAGAATAGCTGTATGCTTAATAATTACTAGTGTAAGTAGTGGTCCTTAACTATTACTATAAGTAAGGTATATATTATACCCCTATAACGTGTTACTAACCTATTCTAAACTTGTTCTATTTACTTTTACTTACTCCCTTAACACTACTACTACTATCCTCCTCTAGCACTTTATATAGTTGCCTAAATTTATCTCTAATATTACTATCTAGTTTAGATACGTTATCTAGTACTGCTATACTAAACTTTAGTATAGTATTTAGGAACGCCTATATATTATTAAGAACAGGTTTAGAACACGTTTAAAAAAGATAGTAACAAAAACTGCGTTTACTTGCTTAAATTACCCTAATTTATACTTAACTATAGGCTAGTTTATATAACTATAAAAATTTGCCGCTGTGACGTGGACTTGAACCTACAGGGATATTCTAACCACTCGGAGTAAAGCCCAAGTCGCCCGACGCTAAACCCATGGTCATATGACATGCCACCACGCTGTTATATCTCGACATCTAGCCGCACGTGCAAGGACAAAGCATGTCTTCAGCTTGTACGATTACTCATACTCCTCTCCTACTTTGTTAACCCAATAACAAATCGACCTACTCCTGCAGCACATTCCCAGTTCACCGGATGTTCCAGGTCTGGCTTCGCTTTTGACGCAGGATACACAAACCAGCCGTGCTCGAAATCAAGGAAGAATTGCCTCACATGGAGCACTAATCATACCTGGTCGCAATATGTCTAATGCATTATGCAAGCCGCCGTTGCCGTATCCTAATCGTGACCTCTAGTCTCTGAAAACTTTCAAATACCGAGACGGGGTGCAGACTGAAGTTCACAGGCACAGGCCCAATTAACAGAATCCAACCAACTTCCACCCTGTTCGCCAAATCAGCGAACGATAGCGAGGACTCGCTGCATATGTCCCAGGTCAGCTGGCCGGGGCTTTTTCACGGTCTGGCTCCATCATTGCCTTGTGACGGAGTAATCGCAACCACGACGAGTTCCTATGCGAGAGCTTGCCTAGGTAGGTGGAAGTGGTGGCACGCGGAGATGCAGCACCTCGGGAGTGGGGAACCGGGAGCAGGGATGTGGAAGTGCCGTCTCGGATACCTTGTCAAGCCGTGGTAATCGCATCGTTTATGCAGCCTTTCTTCGCAAAGTTGTATGAATTCGATCACTGGCTGGAGTCAGATCTAAGAATACCACTCGAACTTGAGATCACGTCAGGGTTCAATATTCATCAAGTGTCCCAAAGGAGTCATGCCTTACTCCCAAGCACGGCTGATGACCTGCACTTTCTGAGCGCCTTTGCGTCTCATATCGTGTGTTCGAATTACAAGACCTAACTTGGACTATAACATACGATAGGTAAGAATTGTGTACAAGTCATGTTCCCTTCTGACCAAAAAAACGCAGCATAACGTTACCTGGGAGATGATTGGATGTATCGCCATGCTCGACGAAAAGTGAGCATCGGTATCCGGATCTCTCCCGCACAGCGATAGGTAAGTGGCATGTCTATATCTGGAAGTTGTTACAGCACGTGCCTCGCCTTTAATTCTGCGAGCAAGCCATGACAGGTGACCGAGTCGAAGCTTACCTATGCTGCCTTTTGTATATGAGACCTCTTGGGCAAAATCAGGTCAGCCCGAATAAAAAAAAACGTGGCGTGGATACCATATCGTAGCCTCAATGTCTTAAGTGCTGTTAGAGACCTGAAAAGGTCTGGCAAATGGCCCCCAAATCAGCCCTAGTCCTTCATTGAGTTATGCTTACCTGAGATGCGACCTATGAGAGAAAGACTCACGCAGGCTGGGGCTGTAGAGCACGATAATGCTAAGCAGATCTCGTGGAAGCCACACCTGTGTTACTTCGTGTTGAGCACAAAGGGCACAGCATGGAGCGAGTCTTAGCACGAGTCTCTATAAGCTTATGCCGCAATGGCTATCTTGGCAATGTCTGCCTGAGACACGGCGTTGAGATGTACAGGTCCCGATTGAGATATATAAACCACTGATCCATTCGCTTCTAGCTATCATTATCATCGGCATCCAAAAGGATCAAACTTCTTTTCCACAATCATTGCTAATCTGTTGGCTTGGGTATATATTCTCCCTTTCTTTGCTCAACATGAAGTCATTTCATTACCTCGCAAGCTTTGTAGCACTGGCTGTCGCCATTCCAACAGACCTCGGTCCTCGAGCTGATTGTCCCACAATCGATCAGATCGCTCCCACGGGCCAACTCCCACCAGGCACACTCTCCCCAGCATTCCTGCAAACTGTATCCAAAAAGGAACCAAACAAAGCATTCCCCGCTAGCCAGTCTGCAATCGTCACACCCAACGACAAGTGCACAATCACTCAATTCGACATACCGGCTTCCGCTCAAAACAAGACCTGCAGCCTTGTCCTCACACTTGGAGACTGTGGTGGGAATGCGTATGAGAAGGGACCTGGCAACATCATCTTCCAAGGTCTCACTGGCACCAGCTTTCCCGTCCCAGGCCAAACGACCTATGCCAATCAACCTCCGCTCGCAGACCCCTTCCCGGACTCGCCTGTGATCACACTTGGTAATGCGTACCGGCTGGGTGGTGGTCCATGTGATTACAGACCTGGTCAGGCTTTCACCAGCGTCGGTGGCAGCATCTGCAGTACTGACACTACATTATCGTTCACTGAGTCTTATGGCGGCAACGGCAAGTGCCCCATTGGGTTCCACATTATCATTACCTAAGGATTTTTCGAATTTGCGAATCGAAGCTCTGGAGAAGGCGTGTTAGGGTGTCACTTGGTGTGAAGGATACAATCTCGTATGTGCGCGCTGATCGGACAGTCGTTTCCAAAAAAAGAAATTTAATAGACATTTTGTTCAATATAAATCTTGAAAGAAACAATTCAGATCAGAACTTGTGCTGGTGGAGACCGAAGCTAACGATCAAGCTATCAGCACAAGATCTACTGAACGCACCAGGAGTTTCACTCTATCAAGCACACTCCACCAGCCCGCAATTCAGAGTCTAGTAGGCCGCCTCTCTCTTCTCCCAGCTCGACATTGGTGCCCTCGGAACCAGACCATACCCACTCTTCACCGGCATACCGGCAATCAGTTCAAACCCGTCTGGCTTTGCACCACCTTCCTCCAGTGCCCAAATACTAACAGCAATCATATTGTCGCCCTGATAGTTCAAGATGCCCTCTGGTACTGGGAACCTGCGCTGTGGTCCAACACCGTTTGCAAACTTTCCAAAGTGGTAACCATTGACCCAAAGCTGCGCACGCCAGCCTTTACCTTGGCCATTGAATGCATCACCGTGGAAGACAAAGGATAGTGGGATGTCCCAGCCGGATGGCATGTCAAGAGGAAGATTTGCTATGTAGAAGCCTACACCGGGGTGCGATAGACCACTCGCTGGGCCAGTGCTTGTGGCCCATTCCGCTGTAGGCGCTGATGGAAGATGGAATCCATTGCGCTCGACCCAAAGCGCACCTTCGTTCAGGGGACCACGCGTTCGATCGCGTAAATCTTCACCGCCGAGGTTGCCGGTGATCTTCCACTTAATACCATCGTTGGCGCGAGAAGCATTGGACGAGGAGACGGTGTGGCCGGGGAAATCGTAACCTATGATTCCGCGCGGAGTTTTCATCTGTCGTAACAGTAACGGTAAGCGCGAGTCTCATGAAACAGAATTGTGCAATCTCCTACCTCGTTATATCCAGCAAACCAGTTACCATTATGACCCATGTGGTCGCTCAGCACCGTCAGGACGTAGTGTTCTCCACGATTCAGCATAGGCATATTCATGGTAACGTTGGCAATCGCAGCTTCGCCAGTAGCAGGCCATGATCCGATGAACGTCTTATTGACCCACGCTGTGAACGCGAAAGCGTTGCCACCAGAGACGTTCAAATGAATCACGCTTTCATTGCCTGTTGCGGTGAAGTGGCCTCTTGTGATCAATGATCCTCCATTATAGCCATATTCTGCACCCCAGAGAACGGTGGGAGTTGTCAATGGCCAGTACGTGTTGTTGGTCTCGGTATGATCAGCATCAGTCCAGAGTGAGTCATCGTAAGAGTTGCTGATCTCTGGCATCGTGTCAATGTATTTCCACGCAAGCGAATCCATTGCAGGCAGGGTAAGAGCAGGAACTGAGAAGTCCACAACGCCGCTAAGAAAGCCGTTGCGGTCGAGTTTAGCTGTTACATCGACACCGTTGAAGGTAAGACCTGTGATGCTTTCATGTGCACCGCCGATGACTTCAATTGTTGTTGTCACGTTGACATCACCAACGAGGTTGATCTTTCCTTCCGCGACAGTAGCATTACGGATTAGATATCCCGCATGAATAATGAGCTCAGATGATGGTGTTGCCTCGTGCGAGTATGCCTCATCGCCAAGTGTATTCACTGTCCAGTAGTTGTAAGCTGAGTTACGGTCGAGGATGACAATGTATAGGTCGGACCCAATGCGTACGACGCGACGATTTGGACTAGAACTCCAATGTAGTATGGTGTTGCCGTTTCGATTCGACAGATTCACCCCCGACCCTTCAGCTACAGTGCCGCCACTTGTTTCGGACACGGCTAGTTCGTGTATTTCGTTTGGTCCACCATAAACGACGAGCACGGTTCGACTACCATACCTCTTCCAAGTGAAGATCTCGGCGGTCGAATACAGCACATTGAAATCGCCTACTTCATAGTCTGCAACATGGATTTTGCTGTCCCGGCCGTGTATCGAAAGATTGCCACCAAGCTGCGGTACAGTTATATTACCAGCGCTAGTTCGAAGCTTCAGCTTGTAGGACTCGGAGCCAACGGCGTTGTATTTGGTTTGACGGCTGACGTAGAAGCTTGTTTTCTCGCTAAACAGTGGCGTGATGGTGATTGCAGTGTTGTCCGCGTACACACCAGTGGTATTATATCCTGGTACCGCCGATGCCAGTGCAGGTGATGATTGAACAAAGTGAGCAATAAGCTTCGCCTCACTGTATTTCTCACGATATACTTGACGCTCTTCGGTAATTGTGGCACCATAGTCGTAACTAGTGTATCCTTGGGCGTGGCCAAGATTGCCCCAATTTGTGCCACCAAAGGTCTTCTTCGGGTTAGCATAAACGTGGTAATCCTACTATTCGTCGAAAACCTACCATGTACACGTTGAAGATTGTTGCGCCTGCTGCAATATTATTCTTATAGAATACTCGCTCGAATTCGTGGTTCGTGAATTCGGCACATTTCTCAAATCCATCACCGCCCCATGGCTGGAATGCGCCTCCTTGATACTCAACGAGCATGTATGGTGTGCTTGCACTTTGGTTCAAATGGAGCTCCCTCCAGTTTGTTGGCAGCGAATCATCAATCCAATATGTGGGATCTGTGCAGTTCATACCCAACGGATACGAATCGTGACCGTAGATGTCGACCGGAGCATCAGTTCCGGGTGCATTGATACCGTTGGGAAACGCTACGTTATTGATCAACGGCACAACGATACCCAGGTCTCGGAATTGACGCATGAGACCATTCATGTAGTCAGCATCAGGGAAGGTCACATTGTTCATGCCCATAGTGTACTCATTCTCCGGTTGAAAGAGGATTACTGGGCCTCCATTAGTAATTTGCGCCTTGGCAATGATCGGTGTGATAGATTCAATGTAGTTTTTAGAGGCTTCTTGATAGTCTGCATCGGGTGTTCGAAGATTGCCTGAAATGCGTTGTAGCCAGCCGGGAAAGCCACCGCCCGAGACTTCTGCATTGATGTATGGTCCGGGACGCTGTAAAACGGGTCAATAGTGGAAAGCCGGTATGACCATGATACTCACAGCAACCAGGTACACTCCAGCTTTCTTTGCCGCATCAAAGTATGGTTCCCAGTCGAATAGGCCTTCTGCACTGAAATCACCCCGTTTGGGCTCATGCAGTACCCAAGCAGAATACAAAGAAACTCCGTTGTAACCGAGAGCCCGGATCTTTTGGAAGATATCTAGCCAAAGACCTGGCACAGGAAGACTGTCATCAATAAGTGAAATTCCAAGATCTTGTGCAAGTACGGAATTACCGAAAAGGGTGAAATTCACCACCCCAGAATATCACTCGCTCGCCATGGACGAAGAGGGAATGCTCATCCCAAGTGACCTGCTGAGGTCAAGATCAAATTTCGTTATATGATTATCACATGCATACCACATCTTGAAGCGGAGCCCGTTTATCGGCGATTATGAAGTCCGCTGGCTTCCCACTCAAGGCTCTTGCAATAACAGCCTGGGTATGGACAGATGCCAGTGCAAGAGAAAACAATACATCAGTGACCCGCATCGCAACATCCAGGTCATATGATAGTGAATGGTCAAGACGCAGCAACAAGAAATAGTTCTACGAGAGAGATGGTGCAGACTTATATTGCATGTTAAGACTCGATGTACAATTGAAAATGTCATCCTGCATGTTACGCCAAGACAATGCAGACCAGCAGCATGGCGGGCCCTTGAGATTGGCGTAATTTAATCCCAATGCACATTAGAATGTCGTCGTTACGCATATAACGGTGGTCTGTCCACAAGTAATCTGAAGGCGGAGAAATACATCTCCAGTCCGTGCGGGGTACGTATATGTTGAAGCGGAGAGGAGCCGCATAGAACTAGGTTCTTCGGTCCGCCCAAGCGCTCAAAAAATGGTCTTTTGGTCTCGATGACATCGCCTGGGGGCTACAATACTACTACAACCCCCAAACTTCAAGATTTCGGTACTGTGCAATCAACGGTTGCATCTGGCGCAGTGCAATGCGACCGCCACGGACGACCGGGCCAGTCTCTGTGTGCGTATCATCGAAAGAGAAGAGGAGCAGTCCGTTGACGGAGAACCTGGCTTCACGCTCATCTTTCACAACTTCGATTTTGTAAAAGGCGCCTTGGGTATCTACCACGGGGGGAATAGGATCGGCACCTTGCGCGACGAGATGGAAACCCGGCGATTTGCGGAGGTTGGCCAAATGAAATGCGCGCTCTTCAGGCCATCGGCGGCGGAAGTAAGACGCATGTAGAAGTCGAATATCGCTGGAGTGGTATTGCGGATAGGAGCCATTGCGAGGCTTCAGTCCAGGATCAAAAACGCTACCACCATCGACAGCGGTAGCGCCGAAGAAAAGCATAGCGAGCCCAGGTTCTTGAGTTGGCAAAAATTCCCAACTGATCCGAATGCGATCTGGGAATACTTCCGGTAGCCAGTAGACGAAGTAGTCGTTTGGGTTGCCAGCACCACTCAAGGTGAGGGTGTTGTTCGAAACACTTGCTACTACGGGGCCCTCTGCTACCCAGCCAGCTATCGCATTGGTACTGTTAAATGTGTTGCGGTAGAGCAGCTTCTCGGCCGCAGTGAACCCAGCAAAGAGCGCTGCGAAAAGTGCAAAAGATCGCATGGTGTCAAGTGAGATGGAATGGAGGGGACGGTTGGTGCAAGTGTCGGCCCAGTATATGAATTCGATCGAGAGGATGAAAGCTGACCCTGCCTCGTGTACTAATGTTCAATTTCGCTTCCTCGGTGATTTGGTGTAGGTTAGTACCTCCGGTGTTGAGGATCACATAGCTCCGAGCCGCTCAGCGAATGCGATCTGATGTCGCCAAGGCATCGCGGAACGAGGTAGTATGTACTTCAGTTGACTTGAATTGCATGATGAGCCGAGGAGCCGATGAGGAGCGGCAGGCTGTCGTTGTTGGGAGCATCAAATCATGGCAAATAGTTCTGAAGTGGAATACGGTACTTTGAGGAGGTGGGCGGAGGCTTAGCTCACCCGGCTCGGCGTTTCGGGACACATTGGGCCGAGGCCCAGGATTCAAAGGTTGTAACATCCGCCAACCACTCCAAGAGTCAACCGCAATGGTTGAAACGCATGCTTAAACCGATCACTTTGTTTGTGTACTTAACAGGTTATACAGGTGAAAAACAAAAAACCAAGCCAAAAAACCTATCTGGTTTTACTAATATTCATAATATGAATAAACGGAGAAGATTGAAGAATATAGTCGCCATCCCGGCCAGGAAGCGTGTACGCCGGCGGAAAAGCATGCCGAGAGAAATGTCGATAGGCAAGCGTAGAAGAGGGAAGCAGAGTTAGAGCAGTGGGTTAACTGCTAAGAATATTCAAATCTCTAAAGCGTAATACGTCCTAACCGTTATAACGCCGTGATTTATGTACAACTATATTTCTCTAGAGCTATACTAAAGAAGAGAAGGGATGGATAAAACCCTAACATCTACACTACGGTACAAAACTGGTTTATAGTAGCCATATTTATCTAAAGTAGACTAAGAAGTGGTTTAGGTAGAAGAAGTAAACCTAAATAGGGTTTATTAAACTATGTATTCTGTAACAATAAGGCAGAATTGCCTGCCTATTGTTCTATGCCAAGTTAGGACCAATAAAGGCCCGACTCACTAATGTATATAGAGAACAGCTCGCCTATAGTTAGGATAGGCATATTCTTCTTGTCCTTTCGTACAAGACCTATAGGTGTAGGTGTAACAATAAGGCAGAATTGCCTGCCTATTGTTCTATGCCAAGTTAGGACCAATAAAGGCCCGACTCACTAATGTATATAGAGAACAGCTCGCCTATAGTTAGGATAGGCATATTCTTCTTGTCCTTTCGTACAAGACCTATAGGTGTAGGTGTAACAATAAGGCAGAATTGCCTGCCCATTGTTCTATGCCAAGTTAGGCCTAATAAAGGCCTAACTCACTAATGTATATAGAGAACAGCTCGCCTATAGTTAGGATAGGCATGTTCTTCTTATCCTTTTGTACAAGACCTATAGGTGTAGGAATCTTATCCTTTTTTATATAGACGCGCACTCCTATATACCTTTAAGTTATATAGGATACCTTTTAGATGCCCTACCTACCTAAGTTATTATATTATAAGAAGAACATTATCCTAGCTAGTAATAGTATTTAAGAATATTGCATTTATTGTTATTTTAAGCTACTAATTTAGTTCTAGTAGCTACCTAACCCTATAACTCTATAGTTAGAATAGCTATTAGAACTTCTAATAACTAAAGCCTATAGGCTTAGACTTCTAGACCTATAGGTAGTGCTAGATTACCTTTAGAAAAATCGCGTTAGATTGCGTTAAGGTAGAGACCTAGAGACTACTAAAAGCCTAGAGGAATTAGAGGCAAAGCTAATATCCTCCTATAACTAAACCCCCCCTAAAGAAAAGATTTATTATTCTTATTAACTATAAAATATTAGATAAAGGCAAAGGAAGGGTATCTAGTTTAGCTACTTTTAAAAGCCTATTTACTAATAGAAAGAAATTAGATAAGGAAGACATTAGATTAATAACGCCCTCCTTAAAGGACCTGCTTCCTATCTATCTCTTAAGGTACCTTGTGCTCCTAGGAAATCTTAAAGCAACACCTCCCTTAAAGATAAATATATATTAACCCTATCTAAAAAGGAGAGGTTAGAGGAACAAGTTAAGCAACTTACTAATTAGTTATACAACACCTCCCTCTATAAGGAGATATAGGGTACTACCTAACCTAGCTAGTCTTTAGCTTCTATATTAAACCCTATAGTGTATGCTATAAAAGCTAAGAGATAATCTAAAAAGACGCTAAATATCTCTACACTTAGTAATAGTGCTAACCCTACTTTTAGATAATAGCAAGCATCTATTTAGGATAGGCTAGAGATTAACGCTAATTACTACCCCTCTTCTAGAGCTTAGATAGCGTTAGTCTAGGGACACTACTTAGGACTAGCAAGAGAATACTTAGAGCCACGTTACTTATCTAATTCCCTAAGTCTTTAATTTTAAAAAGCTAAGGAAATAATTACCCTCCTTTAAACTTACTTTATTACTAGAAATAAGATAGCTAAGAGTTAGACTATATTTAACTGCCTATATATAACTAATATAGAGACGTTCCCTACTTTTAAGTTATAATTCTAGAGTCTTGCTATTAGAGAAGAAGTACCCTAATTAGAGTAGTATTACTACCTCTAGATAAAGATTACACCTTCCCTAAGGATACTAAACCTTGCTTTCTAACAGAATTAGCATAATAATTTTAAGACTATAGTAGATTATCTTACCGCTTTTAACATAGAACGCCGCCTATACCCTACCTTGTCTGCTCCTACCTAGACTACTCTGTTATCTAGAAAAGGACTAACCCCCTTCTAACACTCTAGAAATTGGTCCTATTTAGACGCTAATTAGAAACCCTATAATAGACCTTTAATAGCTAAACCTTATATACCTTACTTATAATAATAAGGTACTACCCCTTAAAATAATTAACCCCTATCTACTACGCTAGCTACTCCTAGCGCTACTATAATAGGAACCCTAGGAACTTGCTATAATTATAAAAAGCCTAGGCACTTCTCTAGTAACTGCCCTAAACCCCCTAGGATTTAGGCTATAGATATAGAATAGGTTATTAAGAATTCTAAGGAAGAAGATACTACTAAATTAACTAATTTAGATAGCTATTAGACAGGAAATAATAACGCCTAGGAGGATTCTCCTTCCTAGGCCTAACTTAATATAACCTGTTAAACCTTTCTTTAACTAAATTATTTTTTAGTTCCTATTTACTTGCACGTATAACCCTATGCCTTAATAGATCTAGTGTTTATCTAAATACTTTAGTAGATACTAGGGCCTAAGGTTACTTATTTCTTAAATTAAAAATTGCTTATAATATCTCTTCTGCGCTTAGGGTACCTATCTAAAAGCTACTATACAAGCTTACTATTAAAGGGTTCTAGGATTAGAGTACCTCCCTAGTTGCCTACTACATTTGGCTTTATATAATAGTTAGTAGCTAAAAGGTTTATAACTGCCCCTTTATAATAGTGGACTTAGGTTCTTAGGATTATATTATTAGATAACACTAGCTAAAATAGTTCTAAATCCTAATTAATATAGATAAATCTTAACTAATCTAGCTAGAGAAATATCCTCTAACCTACAACCCCGCACCTCCTATTCTAGTACGACTCTACTAGCAAGTGCTGTCTACTCTAGTTACCTATAATATCTTGCAAAGAGACGCCCTTTAGGATTAAGAGGAGAACTAGAACTAAAATAGTCCTAGTTTAATTAATAGGATACGTGGTATACTTAAAATTCTAGCCGCTTATAGGGCTGCTACTAAACCTATTACGCTACCTACCCTAGTCTAATTACTAACTGTTACCCTACCTATAAAATTCTAAATTGCTACTATTTCTGCTAATACTTTCTATTTTAATATAAAAAAATCTTCTAATAAATTCTTTACTACTAGCCTATATAAGATTAAGCGTAGGATCTAAACCCTATCTAAATAGGATACTCTTAACACCTGCTTGTTAGATTAGAAGCTCTTATCTAACTATAACTCCTATTAGGACGTCTTTAATAAGGCTAAGGCTAATAAACTTCCTATCTACTAGCCTTATAACCACAAGATAGTCCTAGAGGAACCCCTTCTAAACTACTAGAGTCCCCTCTATTATTAAAATACTAAGGAACTCTAGGCTACTAAGGAATATGTACAAGAGCACCTATAGAAAGGTTTTATTAAGACTAGTTAGAGCCTATTCGCCTCTCCTATCCTATACGTTAAGAAGCTAAATAGAGGCCTTAGGATCTATGTAGATTACTATAAGCTTAATAGCTTAATATAAAAGGACGCGTATCTAATACCCTATATAGATAATCTATTATCCTGGCTAGCTAAAGTAAAAATCTTTACTAAGCTAGATATTTGTGCTGCCTTTAATAAGATCTAAATAGACCCTAACTTAGAGGAGTACACTACTTTCCGCACTAGATATAGTGCCTATAAATGCAAAGTCCTACTATTTAGGCTATATAATAGACCTGCAACCTATTAGCATTATATAAATAATATACTAATAGATTATTTAGATAACTTCTGTATTACCTATCTAGATAATATCCTAATCTACTCTAAAAACCTTGCTACTTACAAGGACTATATTTAAAAAGTCCTTAAGCGTCTTTGTTCTGCTAGATTATAGGCTAATATTAAGAAAAGCGAATTCTATACAACCTGTACCTGTTACCTTAGATATATCCTAACTAACAAAGGCTTAGAGGTAGACCCTAACAAAGTTAAAGTACTCTAAAACTAGTCCGCTCCTAAGATAATAACTAGAGTAAAGTCCTTCCTAGGATTTACTAGATTCTACTAGCAATTTGTGGAAAACTTCTCTAAGATAGCTAAGCCCTTAACTACTCTCTAGAGTCCTGCTACCCTATTTATATAGACTTTAGAATGCTAACAAGCCTTTAACTAGCTTAGGAATGCCCTGCTAGCAATCCTAAGCTTAGCTTACTTCTATCCTAAGTACCCTCTAAAACTAGAGACAGACGCCTCTAATAGAGTTATTGCA